AGTCTCTCCGAAAACGAAATAGCCGTGCTCTTGCCAGTCATCACCGGTCACCGCTTCCACCCCGCAGTCAACACAGCCCTTGATCTTAAGCACGGCCTCGACGAGATCGGGCCCCTGGAATGATGACGTCGCGTGAACAAACAAAGTCAGAATGACCAACTGGAAAAAACGTGCGCTCTCACGCTTTCTTGGAGGTTCGCAATATCTTCAAGCACTTGGTGTGCAGCCGCAATTTTTGTCCAGTTGCCATGTGACGTGAGTCCTTCCGACGTTGCTTGTGAAGCTTAAACAGGTCGAGCGGACCATGTATACATCTATTGTGCACTCCGTCTGCGCTAGTTGAATAATTAATAATGACCTTGACTCCATCTGCCTACCACGTACGATGTTCGAGAAGGTATCTCGTGCACCAGCAGTCACATCAATAACATGCGGTTCTTGTCTTTCCTTCTTCACGGTCTGGCGTGACCAACTATGTACCCTGGATGCCTTTGCGATATGGTTAGTGGATGGCACAATGCCCCCAACACAAAAAATCTAGTAGGTCGCACACGGACACAGGGCCACACCACATGCCCATGCCCAAGCAGCGGCACCCAAAAGGGGCGATGTTTACAATGCGACGCACGGTGCCGGCAATCAACTAAATACCCAACTCACCGGGACCAACGCTGTGACCCGCACACTCTTCAAGTGGACATACTCCTTGCCGCACTTGGGGCATACCGCCTCGAGACTCGCAATCTCGGCGTCCGCCTCCATTTTGCCACGCTCTCCATCTTCCGACAGGGCTGCAAGGACGTGGGCCGGGTATTTGATGCTGCCGAACATCCTAAGCAGCTGTTCTACCTTTGCTACAAACCCCGGCGCATTACGCTTGTACTCCGCCGCCCCTGATCCGATGCCCTCATCGCCTGAATCTTCGTCGCTCCCGCCGTCTAAGTTGAGGGGGGAGCTGCTTCCACAATCACTGCCCATGACACCCAACCCAACGATATGCGTATGCACGCATTTGCCGCTAGAGCCTTTCTTGGACGAGGTGCACCCCGTCCCCCCATTCGCCTATGATCATAGCCAAGTGACGGGCGCCAGGGGGTAGATAGTTGGTGGGACACAGGTTTGTTGCGTGAAAACAGTTAATGCTACGTGCTATGATGCACACCATCTTGAAAGCACCGAAAGTATCATTCGCTGCTACTTTGCCTTTCCGACCAGCTATCCTCAGGGGAAAATACTGTATGTCAGGTAAACCACGATATTTACCATCCGAGCTAGACAACACAGGCACCGATATTGCTGGCGTGGTTTGCACGACGAATTTCAAGGTTGGGGCGGGAAAACATACACAGCAGAAGCGCTCTACATACATTCAATACTCTAGAGCTCCGAATAAAAAATAGTCATGCATCGGCAGTAGTAGACTATCACCTTGCACTGGATCTGCTTCCTTTCAGTGGTCCGCCTTCTCGTGGATGGCGCTTTCTTCGACCCGGGTGGTTGCGGGAAATCCGTCTCGACGTGTGCCCAGCTGCCAGGAATAGACCGATGACCCGGATGGTACACAACATACGTCTGAGTCTCGCCTAAGCGCATCAACAGCGGCACCCCATGCTCCTCTGCAGTCGCTGCCATCCTTAGAATAGTGTCAAAGCTACCCTGAGTCAAAATCATCTGGGTTATCGCTGCATCCCCAACGCTTTCGATCCCTTCCCCATCCTTGCCAAAGACAACCGGCTCTGCTTCAGGAATATCCGCCTTCGGAGTGGTCCCATTTCCGAGAATGACGTCAGCGTGCTCACATTGGCCCGCTGCAACCTGCTCGGCGTTTGGCGCGTGCTCGGGTTCCGCTTGCACACTGCAAAACCAAACAAAAGCAACCGTGAAAGTGACAGTGCATCGTCAGAAAAATATATATATGCCGATTAATTTCTGATAAATTTAGCGAGCAGCAACTGTCGAAAAATAAAATGAGAATGCAGAACGGCCGGGCCCCTACCTGTGCCCTGCAAATGTCTTTCTTTTCCAAACGAGTTATACAAGCGTTGGGTTGCAACAATAACGTGTAGTTTCGATCGGAGATTTGCCGGTGAGAAGGAAGAGTATCGAACACCACACAAGCACTGTTGTTTCGTGACATCCCCCAACTACTACATCGACTCACTTGTGGCATCGGTTATCGCAGCAGTTCACGATGCAGCTTGCAGGCGCACCAGGTTGCTCGGCGGTGACGTCGGTGATGACCATGACACGGTCGCCGCGGGCGGTAGTGGAGACCGAAAACAGTGCCTTTTGTCTATCTCTAGAGTTGCGCGCCGCCACCGTGAGAGGCAGACGGAGCTTGAAAGCGCTGGTTCGAGCCTGGCGGTGAACCACTCGGGACACGCTACTCCCGTGGATGTGGCCGGCTTGAGCTCGTTGGGATGCCGCTCGCTTATCAGCTTTGTTCTTCTTGCACCTGTATGAGTACGAAGCATGTGATGGTGGGAAGAATAGAGGGGGGGGAAATGAGTATACGTACAGCACGCACGCTGAGAGCAGGTCGTATTGTGGACGCTCCGGTCTTGTTCGCACTGCGAGAGGGTGAAGACCTAACAAACACCGATGGTCAAGCAACCAGAAAAGTTGGAGTCGATACAGATCACCAGCAACATTCCCGGAGCAACTAGGTGAAAACAGGTGACAGCCTACCAGGCTGCGCGAGCGCTGTGGAAGTCAAGATATTGTTGCATATTCCTCTCAAACAAACCACATGGGTGGCATCGAATCGGGTGACACCCACGTGTGCGAGAAGCATCCGAGAACTCGATTTGGCACATCACTCTTGGTCACATAATTTAAGAGAATTGCAATTGAGCAAAGAAACTGAACAGCGGAAAACGATATTGGGTACTCACGCGTGACACAGACATGCCGACTTCGTCTTCGTATCGCAGAAGCAGCAAATGAAGCGATCCTTGGTAAGGTCGATCAGCCCATGGTCGACGTGGCAATGCCATCGTTTGAGACACCCACGACAAATCGAAGTAACTGTCTTGCTTTTCGAACAGCACCAGCTGCGCTTCGCCAACGTAGCATTAGCAGGCACGATGACAGGGACGGGCTTTCCGCTGGAGGCATCCTTTGCCTCCCCCCCCCCCTCCTCGTCTTCCTCCTCATGACCGCCTGTCCCTGAGCCATGCGGTGCGCCATGCTGCAAAACCAGATGTAAACCATGGCCGTTCAGGGCGTCACCGACGATGCCACCTGCCGTCCTCTGCTGCACAGGCAACGGCAGCGGCGGAAGTGGCTGACGTACCCGTCTATCCCGCTGCGGCTGAAACACCGCCCCGCCAGCTGCGCCCTGCTGCGCCATCAAAAGCCGTGGCGGCGGCCGGGGCGGCGGCCATACCCCTCCAAAGCAACCGGCGGCTGACAGCTGTTGCTGTTGCTGCTGTTGCTGCTGCTGCTGCTGCTGCTGCTGCTGCTGCTGCTGCGGTCGCCACGGCACTTCGTTGGCTAGGCGCTGCCATGGTGGCAACATTGCTCCAAGTTGGCGTGAGCGTTCATAGTTTAGCTGCGCTACTCCCTCTACCTCCGAATGTAGTAGTGGTGCACTCGGCCCGTGCGTACCGGTAGAGCAGTATCCCGGTCCCGTATGTACCCCAATGGCAGACGACAGGGGCGTATGTGGTTCCGCGAATTCGAAACCATCACCTGATAGCTCCCCTGGCGTCCCCAAGGCCTCCGATGCTTGGGACATCTGCACAGCTGTAGCAAGGAACGAGTGCAGCACCCTGCCGCGACGTTCACCGGCCCCGAAGCCCTCGCATGAATTTCTTGCATCTCGTCCCAAACTCCGCCGGGATGATGGGCTTTGCGACGCGTGGCGTTTCGCTGGTGGTGATTCACGTCCACTCACACTTCTGCGAGCCGCTCCGATAGCCGCAGGAGTGTCGCAAGGAAATGTGTTCGCGACGGTGGCTACACCGCCAGGCGCGCCGCTGACCGACAGATGGGAATTGCCCGACGGCTCGCTACCGGAAGAGGTCGCTGTCCGTTCTCGAGGAGGGTTTTGCTGCAAGAAGTTGGAACTCTCTCCAGTGTTCGCGCATGGGGCTGCGGGCAAGGGGTGCGACAACGGCTTGTGCTGGCGACCAGCCGCACCATCCACGCAGTCATCCGCGCCTGCATCATGATCAGCATCATGATGCGCGCCGCCAGCAGAGCGCGTGCTCGGCAGCATGCCGCTCACCTCCTTGCATCAACGACTGACCGCTGCTGTGGTGGCCAACGGTGGAAGCCACGCTATGCAATGCTCTCTCTAGAGGCTACGTGTCGATAAGGTAGCACGGCCGCCCTGTCCGTCCTTCACAGCACGCGCACCTCGTGCGCGGCGTGCGGAGAAATGTAGCTACAGCGCCGGGGTTTCCCCACCCCAGGAGAGCTTTGTGAATAGAACCAAAAAGAGGTTCACCGAGCGAGCGCGCGCACGCGCATCTCCAACCAATGAGGAGACAGTAAATTTAGAAGTAAAGATCCCTTCGCACGGATGGTAAAATGTACTGGAAACTGATGCTGTGAAGAAACACAGAGAAAAACATGGAACCCGCGTCCCGAACGGCAACAAAAATGGTGTTGGGAACCACGCGGCGAAACAATAAAAATTGCCGTTGAACTTTTAGGGTCCTCCAAAATTGTTTTCGAGCCATCGAGCGAGAGGAAATGGCACACCACACGCCCAATAGCGCCATAACACAAACCATCCGAGCTGGACAGAACATCTGCAAGCACGCGGAGTTCCGAAGCTTCCATCGCCAACAAGAGAGGTGCGTAACAGACAGGCAGCCAAGCACCCGGTGCCGGCTTTGTGCTTGTATTGTTCATCCAATCAAAATGCAGGCTCCGGCGAGGATGCGTCATCTCAAGCACTCATCATTGCTCACGAGAGCTCACAGCTGGCGTGTAGCCCTCGCATTTACCCACAGCAGCAGTAGTAGCTACAGCGGCATTCTCACTGGTGATCCCCATACCCGTTTGCAGCAGGTTCCAAACCCTCAGCAGCAGCAACAGCAGGACGTACAGCGGGATGCCCGTGATGGAGCGCGCGATGCCCTTGCCAAAGTTGCACCTGCGGGAAGGAAGCAGCCCTTCCAGAGCAGGAGGCCGGAGCCCGCGCAGCCAGCGGAGAGTACCCTCGCCGCTTCGCAACGCCCAGTTCCGGCCCCTGGCCATGGAGTACGCCGAAGTTCCCCAGCCTTCGTCTTGCAAGTACTTCAACGGGGCAGACGATGACGAGGAAGTGACCCAGAGCGAGTTCTGCGCGCACGTCCGGACTGTCGGGTGAGAGATGACTTTCAGCTGATGATTTTCGGGGCAAGAGAGAGGTTTGAATCTTCCATCAATCCGCCATTCATTGTGGCGCTATCCGCCATTCATTGTGGCGCTGCTTGTTGATGTTGCTGCTGTGCGGTGACTGGCTATTCGGTGCCACGCGATGTGCTATGTTTGTAGGCCAGGGAATGTGATGTGTAGGAAGAATAAGAAAGAGCGATCGGTGAACGAACGGTACATAGCTTTGTTCTCGAAGATGGAGGAAGGGGGTCCTAGGAAAAAAATTGGACACACGCGTAAACGTGAAACATTCCGATTCAGACTGGCCCGAGAGGAACAAACGACATACTCCTTTTCTCGAGGAGCATCAGCTGCTGCTGCTGCTGCTGCTGCTGCTGCCGCCGCTACCGATGCTGCTGCGTTCGTTGTTGCGCGTGTGGGTTGGTGCTGCAATACAATTTAGCTTGCTTTTAACACTGCTCGCCCCTCGACAACATGCTCCGCACATGCCCAAAGTCCAAAATTAAAACTTGAACTCTGAACAAACTTCGGACCTGCAAGTAAATTGGAAGGGCTTTCGTTGTTCGTTTCTCGCGCGTTGGGGGATGTGACTAGTTTCATCCCGCCTCGGGGGAGCATATGAACCTGATGAGAACATACTCTAGATTTGGCTATTATTCCCTCTCTGCGCGGGCGGGGAGCGCGCAAGGCCTGTCTGTCTGTACCTGTGAAGGTTGTCTGCGTTGGTCTCTTGTTCGGATCCGTTGCGGTAGGAATTTATTTGTCCCATGTCGAGGCACCACCACCCCATCCAACAAAAAACACAAAATCTCAAAATCTCGACGGGAAACCTCGCGCTAAGATCCCGTCCCAAGAAAGACACATTCAAATACCCCCACACAGAAAAGGAAGGCACTCCTGCCCCCGTAGAAAAAGTCACCCGTTGCCCCGCGCCCCCGCCCCTCCGATCACCACAACTGACCCGTTCGTACGACTCTCCCTCGTCTCTTCCCCCAACCTTTTTCTCGTGGTCGAAACAGGTACTCTACCGTTGGCGGCAAGCCGTTCATGTCCGGCAAGTGCCCCCACTGCCACCGCTACGTCAAGTCCGACAACCAGGTCTGCACCCCCAACGCCACCCCGCCGCAGTCTCCCTGGAAGAAGACCCTCAACAACCTGCAGTCCCCGCTGCGCTCGCCGCTCCGCACCGGCTCCAGCCCCAAGGACGGCGGCGGCTCCAAGACCACCACCTCCCTGCAGTCTCCCCTGCGGAGCCCCTTCAAGGGCTCGTTCTTCGGCTCGAACGACGACGACGACCAGAGAGGCAAGGCGGCACCCACTTCTCCCAAGAGGACCGCGCCCACCGCTGCCGCTGTTGGCCCCGCCCCCGCTCCCCGCGGGGTCGGCTTGACCCGCAGCCCTCCCCGGGGAGGAGAAACGGGCAGCCAGCCGGCGCCGTGGGCAAGGTCCAGGAGCCCGCCCCCTCGCGCCAACAGCCCGGCGCCGGCGCCGGCGCCTCGTGCGAGCAGCCCGACTCCCCGCGCGAGCAGCCCGACCCCCCGAGCGAACAGCCCGACTCCTCGCGCGAACAGCCCCGGCCCGCGTTCCCCAGCCCGCGGCAACATGAGCCCTTCCTCGGGAGGTGCCTTCTTCGCCGTGGCCAACGACGATGGCAACAACGGCGGGAGGAGCGCTAGCGGCTCCGTGGCGGCGAGGCGCCCGTGGGCCGAGAGAGGGAGGAGCCCGTCCACGCGCGGCGGCCGCGGTCGTGAGGAGGAATGCGTTCCGTTTCGCTGGGGCGGTTGGATGAGGATGTCCGAGGCCCCGGTCGCTCT